ACCCCGTGCTGCGCGGCGCTGAACCCCGCGACCTGCGCGGCCGCGGCCCGGAGCCGGGAGCCGCCCTCAGAGGGGCCCCTGGGGTGCGGGCTGGGCCTTCTCGGTGGACAGAGGCTCTCGGAGCTAGTGGAAAGCTTAGAACTGCACTGTAGGGAGTCCTCAGGTGCCAGTGGTACCGAGACCTTGGGCTAGGGCCGGGGTAGGTGGAGTAAAGGAGATGGGTGTGTGCAACTCCGACACAAAAGGCAAAAGAAAGCACTATTAGGATCATCCTCCTGGAATGTAGACTGAATTGTCCTCACGTCTAAAGATGTGCCTTTAGCATCTTCTGGCATGCCTGGCAAACAAAGGAAATACTCTTAGTCGCCCATTATTGTGTCTACTTGGTTTTCACTTCATTTATTTGAAGAGGGTGTCATAAACTTTTCACTTCTCCGTAATGTAGACAGAGACACTGCCAAAGAAAGTCATCAAGGACATCTGATTAAAGAATGGACCCGTGGCTGCACAGCCCTCAGGTTATAAGAAAGACGCCCTTGGCCCACCTCACAGCAGGTTGCCAGAGTAAGGGGAGGAGCTGCACTTGATTAGATGTTAAGAGGGCCCAAGAATCAAGCTCTGGAGTAGACCCAGGAGGTCTTTCCGAGAGCCGCATGAAACAGTAGTGCCTAAGCTTCTCTGTGCAGGCCTCAGTAGAGCTGCCATGGACTCTGTATTACTTACGTTTTTGGTTTTCTTCTGTCACTCTCCCAGATGTTGAGTAGTTTACAGATCCCAAGGCCCTGCTATGTGCTTTTTTTCCTCTGGAAGATAAACTTCAAACTCCTAATGTTGTTAGTTCCTGGTTTCTGAAGGTGAACCAAGAATCCCAGAGCCGCCCTGGGAGATCCTTGACCTGTCCTGTACACACTGCCTTGCTTGCTGTCTAACCTTGGCAGCTTGGATGTTTCTTTATGGAATAGTCACTAGAGCCTAGCTTTCTTCCCAATAATACATAAGCATGAAAGTTTTAATTTTCTTCGAATGTCATTGTATATCTGTCATATGTCACTATATACCATATACTCTTCAAATGTCACACTGTATACCTGCCACATTAAGGTGTAGAGCTTTGATGAGAACATTCTTCCACCCCCATAAAGGAATGGTTTTTGCCTGGCTTGAACTTTGGTATGCTATTCTAATTTATATAATCCCCATTAAACCAGTCTTTTTGCCCCCAAGTAAATCTTGATTTCTTTTTTTTTTTTTTGTTGGTTGTGGGGCTGTCCCCCAGCTCTTCAGCTCAAGGCAAGCACTCTACCACTTGAGCTACAGCGCCATTTCCAGTTTTCTGGTGGTTTATTGGAGATAGGAGTCTCACGGTCTCTCCTGCCCGGGCTGCCTTTCAACCGCGATCCTCAGATCTCAGCCTCCTGAGTAGCTAGGATTACAGGCGTGAGCCACCAGCGCCCGGCTAAATCTTGATTTCTAATTCAAGACTACTCTGCTAGTAGTTATCTGTGGTGAGAAAAGTAGTTATTTTAGGGAGCCTGGGAGAAGTGAAGGTTTTAAATGGTGGAAGGGTTGAATCATACACATTCTTGCTAGTTTGAGACTGATTGTTGTCTGCTGCTTTTCTGCTCTGCTCTTGCTGTCAGTGCTACAGGTGGAAGAAGATTCATATCTCTTTCTGTGGGTGCTTCAGGCCTCTTTGGAAGTGGAGGCAATCATGAGAAGGAGAAGCTTTCCCTTCAGGATATTGCTGAGCTGATTCGTGCCAGAGCCTGCCAGAGAGTCGTGGCCATGGTTGGGGCTGGCATTAGCACACCCAGTGGCATTCCAGATTTCAGGTACACTTGAACCCCCAGTGGCATTGATGCTATGTCTCCACTCTTCTGAAGGGTTAGACTTCTTCCTTTTATCCCACAGATCTCCCGGGAGCGGCCTTTACAGCAACCTCCAGCAGTACAACATCCCATACCCTGAAGCCATTTTTGAACTTGAATTTTTCTTTCACAACCCCAAGCCCTTTTTTACTTTGGCCAAGGAGCTGTACCCTGGGAACTATAGGCCCAATGTCACTCACTACTTCCTCCGACTGCTCCATGACAAGGGTCTGCTTCTGCGGCTCTATACACAAAACATCGACGGGCTTGAGAGAGGTGAGCCCTCTACCCCCCCTCGAACATTCTATGCCTGTTTTCAGGTAGGGCTGGGCCTCATCCCTGGGGCTGTTTCAAGCCAACTGGATATGCCTTTGCATTCTCCAAGTGTTCCAGACTATTGTTAGGAGCCTCCCTATTCCCACAAAGTTACTGGGTTGTGAGTTTGAGGAAGAACTAAAATTCACATTGTTTTATGAATCTAGTGTGATGATCTCCTTTTTGTCTCTTAATAAATATGTGGAGCCACTTGGTTTATGCCTGTAATCCTGGCTACTCAGAAAGCTGAGCTCTGAGGATCGAGTTTGAAGCCAGCCTAGGCAGGAAAGTCTGTGAGACTCTTAACTCCATTTAGCCATCAAAAAGCCAGAAGTAAGCCGGGCGCCAGTGGCTCATGCGTGTAATCCTAGCTACTCAGGAGGCTGAGATCTGAGAATCGCGGTTCAAAGCCAGCCCCGGCAGGAAAGACCGTGAGACTCCTATCTCCAATAAACCACTAGAAAACCAGAAGTGGCGCTGTAGCTCAAGTGGTAGAGCACTTGCCTTGAGCTGAAGAGTTGAGGGACAGCACCCAGGCCCAGAGTTCAAGCCCCATGACCGACAAAAAAAAACAAAACCTAATAAAAAAAAAGAGGCAGAAGTAGAGCTGTGGCTCAAGTGGTAGAGCACTAACTTGAGCAAAAAAGTGCCCAAGCCCTGAGCTTAAACCCCAGAACTGGCACAGAAAAAGAAAGAAAAGAAATATGTCAAGTACATAAAGAGAAGGTTGCAAGGGGCTCTTATGTCTTCTCCATAACTCTTCATTACTGACATGCCAGTCCTTGTTGGTCTATGCTCTTTCGGCATTTCCTTCACACTCCTGCCCCCAATTTAATTTAGAAACAATCTGTAAACCAGTGGGTATCTTTGGGAGATATACTTTAGAACATAGATCACCACAGTTATTTAAGACAACTGTTATCACACAGAACAATCACCAAATATTCAGTGCTGTCCAGGTCAGCCTGTGATAATTTCTTGGTGAAATTGCTGTGGTTGCAGTAGCGTTGTGCAGGCTGTGCTTGCCAGGCTATTTGTGTGAGGGAAGTGCCGTCAGGGCCTTGCCCAAGGTGCAGTACTGGTGCACTGGTGAGCAGCAGCCGCCCTGCCAGTCTGCAGAAGTACTGTCATCTGAATAGACCTGCTTTGCTCCAGGAGCACACTTCCTGGGAGAAGGCCCGAGGCCCTCTCTTCTCGCAAGGAGCAGCTGGGCAGGCCTTGGAGGAGGGTGGAGTTGCCGGGCCATCGCTCCAGCACGGTAGTTGGGACACTGGTGGGACACTGGTGGAGGTTTCTGCCCCAAGCCTTTCAGAACTGAACAGCAGTAGCACACTTTTTAAGAAGTCTCCAGCTCTTCACCTTCTGTTTTTTTTAGACAGTCTTGCTTTGTAGCCCAGGCTGGTCTGGAACTCATAATTCTCTTGCCTTAGTCTCTTGAGTGCTGGTATTAGAGGTATGCTGATCACCATGCCCGGCTGAGAAGTTACATTTTAGTCTGTTTATTAGCCATTCCAGTTTGTTTAAAGTTTAGGCTTGCCAAGCCCAGACTTCAGCTATCTCAGGCTGTTAACACTGAACTTTGGTTTCAATTTCAGTGTCTGGCATCCCAGCTGGAAAGCTGGTGGAAGCTCATGGGACTTTTGCCTCAGCTACCTGCATAGTCTGTCGAAGGTCCTTCCCAGGGGACCACTGCTGGGTGAGTTTTCTACTGATGAGTCTCCTTTCTTCAGTTCTTGAGGGTGCTGTAAAAGTGGTAAGTGCTATTCTAAAAATGTGTGTGAACAGGGCGCCGGTGGTTCACGCCTATCATCCTATCTACTCAGGGGGCTGAGATCTGAAGATCTCGGTTCAAAGCCAGCCGGCGCAGGAAAGTTCATGAAATTCCTATCTCCAATAAACCACCAGAAAACCGGAAGTGGCTCTGTAGCTCAAGTGGTAGAGCACTTGCCTTGAGCTGAAGAGCTGAGGGATAGCGTTCAGGCCCAGAGTTCAAGGCCCATGACCGACAAAAAATAAATAAATAAAAATAAAAATGTGGTGACTGTGTACTAGTGATTCATTGCTGTAATCCTAGCAACTCAGGAGGCCGAGATCTGAAGATTGTGATTTAAAGCAAGCCCAGGCAGGAAAGTCCACGAGACTGTTACCTCCAATTAACCACCAAAAAGCTAGAAGTGGAGGTGTGTTTCAAGTGGTAGAATGCTAGCCTTGAGTAAAAAGGCTCCTGCACAGTGGCCAGGCCCTGAATTCAAACCTCAGGAGTTTTTTGTTCTGCTACTGAGACTTGAACTCAGGGCCTGGCCACTGTTCGCTTACCTTTTTCATGAAAGGTAGGCACTTCACCATTTGAGCTATACCTCCACTTCCAGCTTTTGGGTGGTTAATATGAGATTAAAGTCTCACGACTTTCCTGTCTGGGCTGGCTTCTAACCATGATCCACAGAGCTCAGCCTCCTGGGTAGCTAGGATTATAGGCTTGAGCCCCTGGCACCTGGCTTTATTTTGGATTTAGAAAAGTACCATGTGCTTATAAAAAACAAAGGCAGGGCTGGGGCTATGAGTCAATGGTAGAGCACTTTCTAGGTATGCATAAGTCACTGGGTATGATTTCCAGCACCAATTGCATGATGGGAAGACCAAAATTGGAAACTAAAACTAAGTACAGAAATATGCAAGGAAATTGAATTTCCCTTTAACCAATCCCTCCTGCCTTGCCTTTAACAATTTGGTATATAATGTTCAGGGCCTTTAAAGAAAAAGAGAAGTGTCTGCACATGGACATTAAAGTTTTTCAGTGATGGAGTCTTAATTAAGCTTCATCTTCTGCACTCACTTTCTTTGCAGAATTTCAGTTATCTAGTGTTGACACCTAAAGTCCTGCTCCTTCTTTTTATTAGCTATGGAGTACTACATTTAGCCTCTCACCTATTGTGGAACACTTTGTTTGAGTAGTACTGGGGTTTGAACTCAAGGCCTTGCTATTGCAAGGCAGGTGAATGACCACTTGAGCTCCTCCAGCTCCTTTTTGTATTGGTTATTTCTAAGGTAACCTCTTTGTTTTTATGTCTGTGCTTCAACCTTCCTACTTTTTCCTATTGCTGGGATGTGTCAGGCAGTTGAGTAAGTTCGAGTTTCATAAATTTTATGACCAGGCTGGCTTTGAACTGCAATTCCTGATCTTCTTCCAAGTAGCTTGAACCATTGCACCCATGTTTACTTTTGATATTTGTAATTTTCTTTTTCTTGGCAGTATTGAGGGTTGAACTCAAGGTCTTGCACTGGTTAGCCAGATGCTCTCCCACTTGAGTCCAACTCTGTCCTCTTTGCTTTTAGTTTGCTTTTCAACTAGGGTCTTGTGTTTTTCCTCAGGGTGACCTCAGACTAAATTCTCCTGCCTCTGCTACTCAAGCCTGGGATTTCAGGCCTGTACCACCTCACCTAGCTTATTTTTCCCAGGCATGCATAAGGCCCTGAGCACCAAAGATAAGGGGGACAAATAGAAATAGGATTTCACCAGTTTTTGCCTGGGCTAACCTCAAACCATAGGAATGGATAAAGTATATTTTTCTTCAAGTGGGTTTTATTTTTTGGAGTTTTAGGTTCAAAATTGAGTAGAAATTATAGACAATTCCCATATACTCCCTGCCCCATACATGCACAGCCTCCCCTCTCTGAAATTCTCCAATAGAGTGGGTGTGCTGTGAACCCCCATGGACATGTCAGTATCATCCAGAATATAAAACTACATTAGGGCTCACTCTTGGTGTGTATTCTGTGGGTTTGGAGAAATGTGTGATGATTCAAGTCCACCATTATAGTAGCATACAGATAGTTTCATCGTCCTAAAATTCTTCTGTGCTATGCTTGTTTAAGCCTCCTGCCCTTCACCATTCTGTCAGCCTGGTTTTGTTTTTTTGTTTGTTTGTTTTTACTGACTCTAAATTTTAACTTTTCCAGAATGTTACAGAGTTGGAATTGTATGTAGTATGTGTTACGTTAGTGGAGGATCAAAAAATAGGCCAGACTTGCTCTCAGCAGGTGAGGACTGTTTATTACAGCAGTGAGAGTTAAGCAACCTTTCCTCTGATGAAGGTTGTGTGAGGAGGTGGAGTTGGGGTCAGGTTTCTATTGGTCTTAACAAGGAAACAGAAATAAAATAACAGGCTGTGGTCTCTTGGGGGCAAAGGGCAAGCACCCTTGGCCTGGGTGAGGGAACTTTCAGCCAGGCATAGGTCAGAATGACCTGCCTGCAGTTAGCACATGAGTGTGCTCCTGGGGTTTCGCTTGACCTGGGGGTCGATTCTTCAGATTCAGTCCCTGGATAGATAGAAAAATTGGACTGAGACTAAAAAGGGGAGGCTGGAAAAAAGGTCAATGGTCGCCCTTCTTTATACTTCCTGCTGATGAGAGGCAATGTTTAGATGTTGGTTTCAGTGAGGTCTTGTGTTGGACAGGGCTTCTCTTTGTTGAGTGGGTGGTATCCCATGGACATGAAGGAGTTGGTCACCCATTGGGATGTGAATGTTCGCACATGTTCCTGGAAATCAAGGCAGGGGCCTATATATATTGCCAGATCATGATTATTGGGCCTACAGACTGCAGAAGGATGGAAAAGAAAAAAATTGGGTGACTTGGCTAGCCCCTGTCTCCTACATTGTAGGCGGTCCTGGAGTTAGTGGATCATGTCCCTTACTACTCCTGACTAATTAACATCAGTGACTGCGTAGAGGAGGGCCTAGTGGACAGAAGCTGAGGCTGTATTGGAGTGGTTAAAGGACTGGTGGGCGGCCTTAATATTATAGAGTATGGTTGGGAGATCCACTATAAATAGAAATAGCAGTAATAGATGTAAGTTCCTGCCCAGTTAGAAAAAGACAGGTATGAACATAGATAGGCATGCTTACTGACTATTTTCTATGGTCTCCTGGCTCTGGTTAATTTTGAAAGGGCATGCACAAAGTGAACTCCATTTAGGGTATGACATCATTCTCTCTTATCTGAAGTTTTTCCAACTGCCTCTGGATAGACTCTCATCCCCAGGACAAGCTTTGTCATGCGGGTGTCTGCTTCTTGCTGGGCTAATGTCCCACTTGGCCTCTTTTATCAGTCCTGGGGCTTGAACTCAGGGCCTGGGCACTGTCCCAGAGCTCTTTTGCTCAAGGCTAGTGTTCTACCATTTTGAGCCACAGTACCACTTCCAGCATTCTGCTGATTAATTAGCCATAAGAGTCTCACAGGGACTTTTCTGCCATGGCTGGCTTTGAAGCACGATCCTCAAATCTAACGAGTCTTTGTAATAGCCTCTTACTCCCAACTGAAGTAACAAGGAGATCAATAGAAATAGTTTTGACACAGGGCTTACCTAAAACTTACCAAGAATAAAAGTTAAGTCTGACCAAAAAGTACTTGGAAGAGTTATTTATTCCCTCTCCCCCCATGGGACTAAATGCTGCAGAGCACAAAATCCATAATCACAAAACTCAACAATAGATGTGAGAGTTTTGAAACAGCAACTGATTAAACAATCTAGTTACTTTTTAACTGAAAATAGCACTTTCGGATATAATTAAGATGTCAGCTCTGTATCTAAAACATACATACTTGGGAAACAAATAGACACATGTGTTCACACACAAATCTGATGAACTTTTTTGAGGCTTAGGTTTAAAACTACCCAGCGATAGACTGGTGAAGGAGCCAGAGCAGACGCGCCATTTTGGCAGTGATCTGGCACAGGTGGCCACCTGGGGATGCCAAGAACTGGTCTGGCAGGCACAGAGGGAGTTTGCTTATAGAGGACTGACTGCAGAGTGGAAGAATGCAGTTACAAGAGCAAATACGGAAAAAGGCTTGGGCTTAGGAAACTCTGACCACTTGCCTTTCCATTGGAGAAATGTATATCTTGCAGTATTGTGGGGTCAAAAGTGCAAGTCTACAACAGCTAGCCTTCAAGAGGGAACCTAGAGGGGGTCCCCAGGACCCAGCCTGCATCTCTCTCTCCATACACAAGCTGAAGGGTTGTCAACCGGAATGGAGGCAGTCCAGTGGTAAAGGGTCTCTGGTCCGGAGGTCATCAGAGGGAGAGAGAAAAGAAAAGGTGTGTGTGCAGGAAGAGACACCCCAAGGAGAGATGGAGACTGAAGACTGGGGAGACATGGCCAGGAGGCGGAAGGGGGGGTCCGTTAGCTCTGGATACTAACCTCTCCTGGGTTTCGGCTCCCTATGTTATGAAAACGGAGGAGAAAGAACAGGCCTGACTTGTTCTCAACTATTTATTACAGCAGTGAGGGGTAGCAACCTTCCCACAGGATGAAAGTTATACAGGGAGGTAGAGTTGAGGTCAGGCTCTTAACGAGGAAGCAAATACAAAAACAGGCTGTGGTCTCTTCGGGGCCAACAGTAGGCACGGCTGGCCAGGCCCAGAACCGAATACTCAGCCTGAGGTGAGGGAGCTTTCAGCGAGCTAGCTGATAAAAGCTGCACACTGCATTGACCCCTGCCAGGTGCTCAAGTGCTCACATGCCTAACTGCAGGCAGGTCATGTAGTAGTAGTATGTTTAGTTTGATCATAAATCACCAAACTGTCTTCCAAGTGGTTTTACATTCAGTGCGACGACAGTGCTGAGAGTTCTGTTGCCTCATGTCCTTCCCAGCATGCTTCCTTGTTAGCTCTGGATGTGGGTCACTCCCACAGGCATGTAGAAGTGACTCACAGGCGTGTAGAAGTGTCCACAGGCGTGTAGAAGTGTCCCACGGGCGTGTAGAAGTGTCCCACGGGCGTGTAGAAGTGTCCACAGGTGTGTAGAAGTGTCCACAGGTGCGTAGAAGTGACTCACAGGTGTGTAGAAGTGTCTCACAGGCATGTAGAAGTGACTCACAGGCGTGTAAAAGTGTCCACAGGTGTGTAGAAGTGTCCCACGGGCGTGTAGAAGTGTCCCACGGGCGTGTAGAAGTGTCCCACGGGCGTGTAGGAGTGTCCCACGGGCGTGTAGAAGTGTCCACAGGCGTGTAGAAGTGTCCACAGGCGTATAGAAGTGTCCACAGGTGCGTAGAAGTGACTCACAGGCATGTAGAAGTGTCCACAGGTGTGTAGAAGTGTCCCACGGGCGTGTAGAAGTGTCCACAGGCGTGTAGAAGTGACTCACAGGCGTGTAGAAGTGTCCACAGGCGTGTAGAAGTGTCCCACGGGCGTGTAGAAGTGTCCACAGGCGTGTAGAAGTGTCCACAGGCGTGTAGAAGTGACTCACAGGCGTGTAGAAGTTAGAAGTGTCTCACAGGCGTGTAGAAGTGTCCACAGGCGTGTAGAAGTGTCTCAGGTGTGTAGAAGTGACTCACAGGCATGTAGAAATGTCTCACAGGCATGTAGAAGTGTCCACAGGCGTGTAGAAGTGACTCACAGGCGTGTAGAAGTGTCCCACAGGTGTAGAAGTGACTCACAGGCGTGTAGAAGTGACTCACAGGCGTGTAGAAGTGACTCACAGGTGTGTAGAAGTGACTCACAGGTGTGTAGAAGTGTTCACAGGCGTGTAGAAGTGTCCACAGGCGTGTAGAAGTGTCTCACAGGCGTGTAGAAGTGTCTCACAGGTGTGTAGAAGTGTTCACAGGCGTGTAGAAGTGTCCCACAGGCATGTAGAAGTGTCTCAGGTGTGTAGAAGTGTCTCACAAGTGTGTAGAAGTGTTCACAGACGTGTAGACGTGTCCCACAGGCATGTAGAAGTGTCTCACAGGCGTGTAGAAGTGACTCACAGGCGTGTAGAAGTGTCCACAGGCGTGTAGAAGTGACTCACAGGCGTGTAGAAGTGTCCACAGGCGTGTAGAAGTGTCCACAGGCGTGTAGAAGTGTCTCAGGTGTGTAGAAGTGTCTCACAGGCATGTAGAAGTGTCCACAGGCGTGTAGAAGTGTCTCACAGGCGTGTAGAAGTGTCTCACAGGTGTGTAGAAGTGTTCACAGGCATGTAGAAGTGACTCACAGGCGTGTAGAAGTGTCTCAGGTGTGTAGAAGTGACTCACAGGCGTGTAGAAGTGACTCACAGGTGTGTAGAAGTGTCCACAGGCGTGTAGAAGTGTCCCACAGGCGTGTAGAAGTGTCCCACAGGCATGTAGAAGTGTTCACAGGCGTGTAGAAGTGTCCCACAGGTGTGTAGAAATGACTCACAGGCATGTAGAAGTGACTCACAGGCGTGTAGAAGTGATTCACAGGCATGTAGAAGTGTCTCACAGGCGTGTAGAAGTGACTCACAGGCGTGTAGAAGTGTTCACAGGCATGTAGAAGTGACTCACAGGCGCGTAGAAGTGTCTCAGGTGTGTAGAAGTGACTCACAGGCGTGTAGAAGTGACTCACAGGCGTGTAGAAGTGTCCCACAGGCGTAGAAGTGACTCACAGGCGTGTAGAAGTGACTCACAGGTGTGTAGAAATGACTCACAGGCATGTAGAAGTGACTCACAGGCGTGTAGAAGTGACTCACAGGCGTGTAGAAGTGATTCACAGGCGTGTAGAAGTGTCTCACAGGCGTGTAGAAGTGACTCACATGCGTGTAGAAGTGTCCACAGGCGTGTAGAAGTGTCCACAGGCGTGTAGAAGTGACTCACAGGCGTGTAGAAGTGACTCACAGGCATGTAGAAGTGACTCACAGGCGTGTAGAAGTGACTCACAGGCGTGTAGAAGTGACTCACAGGCGTGTAGAAGTGTCTCACAGGCGTGTAGAAGTGACTCACAGGCATGTAGAAGTGACTCACAGGCGTGTAGAAGTGTCCCACAGGCGTGTAGAAGTGTCTCACAGGTGTGTAGAAGTGTTCACAGGCGTGTATAAGTGTCCCACAGGCGTGTAGAACTGACTCACAGGCGTGTAGAAGTGTCCACAGGCGTAGAAGTGACTCACAGGCATGTAGAAGTGTCTCACAGGCGTGTAGAAGTGACTCACAGGCATGTAGAAGTGTCCACAGGCGTGTAGAAGTGACTCACAGGCGTGTAGAAGTGACTCACAGGCGTGTAGAAGTGACTCACAGGCGTGTAGAAGTGACTCACAGGCGTGTAGAAGTGTCCACAGGCGTGTAGAAGTGACTCACAGGCGTGTAGAAGTGTCCACAGGCGTGTAGAAGTGACTCACAGGCGTGTAGAAGTGACTCACAGGCGTGTAGAAGTGACTCACAGGCGTGTAGAAGTGACTCACAGGCGTGTAGAAGTGTTTCACAGGCGTGTAGAAGTGACTCACAGGCGTGTAGAAGTGACTCACAGGCGTGTAGAAGTGACTCACAGGTGTGTAGAAGTGTTCACAGGCGTGTAGAAGTGTCCACAGGCGTGTAGAAGTGTCCACAGGCATGTAGAAGTGACTCACAGGCATGTAGAAGTGACTCACAGGTGTGTAGAAGTGATTCACAGGCGTGTAGAAGTGACTCACAGGCATGTAGAAGTGTCCCACAGGCATGTAGAAGTGTCCCACAGGCGTGTAGAAGTGACTTACAGGCATGTAGAAGTGTCTCACAGGCGTGTAGAAGTGTCTCACAGGCATGTAGAAGTGTCTCACTGATTTAATTTTTGTCACTTGATGACCTGTGATGTTACACATAATTTTATGTGGTTTTTTATCTTCGAATCTTCTTTGGGGAGGTTTCTTTTTAATCTGTTTATTTTTTATTGTTGAGTTTTAAGAGGTCTTTAGATTTTAGTTAATATTCTTTATCAGCTAGGTCTTTTGAAACTTTTTCCAGTCGGTGGCATTTTTTTCTCATTCTCTTGACAATATCCTTCACATAACAAGAGCTTCTAATTTTAATATTTGACATGAATTACTTCTATGGCCTTTGGGATTGTTTTTGTTTTTACTTTTGTGCTGATCCTGGGGCTTAAATTCAGTGCTGTCCCTGAGCTTTTTTATAACTTACAGCTAGTGCTCTGCCACTTGAACCACAGTTTCACTTCTAGCTTTTCGCTGATTAATTGGAAATAAGAGTCTCATAGACTTTTCTACCATGGTCCTCAGATCTCAGCCTCCTGAGTAGGATTACAGGTGTGAGTTACTGATGCCTGGCCATTTTTAGTTAATTTTTGTGAAGCATGTAGTCTGTCCAGACTTTTTTTTGCATGTGAACATCCAAGCATTCCAGCACCTTTTGTTGCAGAGTGTCGTTTCCCCATTGGATTGCCTCTGCTTCTTTATCAGAGATCAGTTGCCTTTGTTTGCCTCAGTCTGGGCTCTTATTTTGTGCCATGGATCTCTTTATTTTTTTATTTGTTGGTCAAGTCCTGGGGCCTGAGCTCTGGGTCTGGGCTCTGTCCCTCAGCTCTTCAGCTCAAGGCTGCGCTCTACCACTTGAGCCACAGCACCACTTCCAGCTTTTTTCTTTTTGCTTATATGGTGCTGAGGAATCGAACCCAGGGCCTCATGCATGCAAGGCAAGCTATCTACCACTGAGCCACCTTCCCAGCCCTTGTTTTAAAAAAAAATTCTTAATGGTTATTTTTTTGGTGTTAATCCTCAGGCTTGAACTCAGGGCATAGGCCCTGTCCCTGAGCTTTTTTGCTCAAGGCTAGTGATCTGCGCCTTGAGCCACAACTACACTTCTGGCTTTTTGCTGGTTAATTGGAGAAAGAGTCTTAACAGGCTTTCCTGCCCAGGCTGGCAGATCCTCAAATCTCGACCTCCTGAGTAGCTGAGATTATAGGCGTGAGCTACCAATGCCTAGCTGTTATTATTTTTTTCTTTCCCTTTTAATTTGAACATGATACAGTAAAAAAAAAAAAAAAAACTGTAGATGACAATATCTGAAGTCCAAGCTGGATCTTTTTTTTGTCATTTGTTTCTGTTTGTTCTTGCTGATTCACTCTACTAATGCATGTCATGTTAGTCACAAAGCTTTGTCTTATAATGCAAGTGTCTTCCTCCCCTCTCTCCCCCCCTTTTTTTTTTGGCGATGGTACTGGGGCTTGAACTCCCCCCTGAGCTGTTTTGCTTGAGGCTAGTGCTCTACCACTTGAGCCACAGCTCCACTTTTGGCTTAGGTGGTTAATGGGAGATAAGTATGGTGGAACTTCCTTCACTGGCTGTCTTTGAACTAGGACCCTCAGATCTCAGTCTTGAGTATTGCAGGCGTGAGCCAGGAGCACCAGGCTTGGATGCCTTCCTCCATGCTTCCTTTGTCCACTTGGTGCACTGGTCCAGGGTAGATTAGCAGTTGCTGTCTATTTCATCTTGTCCTACAAGGACATGGTCTTTGGCAGCTGTCGTCACCCCTGGCCATGCCAGCGAGTTGTAGAAGACTAAACGCTAACACCAAAGCCATGCCCTGCTCACTTCAGCTTAAACCAGGACTGATGTCTGCTGTCTCATTGTAGGCCAGAGGCCACAGAACAGCATTTGAGGGCCGGGGACTGCACAGATGCGGTTCCGGGTAGACATGCAGCCTGGGGGACGATTTGTGGGTGAAGCTAGGTGATATCTAGGATTATTTCTTAAATGCTTTAGGACATTTATATGAAACATTTGTCAAACTATTGGTAATTAATCACTAAAGCTGTGTGCCTGGCCGTTCATTACATAATTCAGCTTTTGTGCATATTTGAGATTTTTTGAAACATTGTTGCCTTCTCCTCTTTTCCTCTTACAAGATATCTTCTTAGTGCTGCCCTGTCTCCCCAGGCGGAAGTGATGGCAGACCGGGTGCCCTGCTGCCCTGTCTGCACGGGTGTTGTGAAGCCTGACATCGTGTTCTTTGGGGAGCCGATGCCCCAGAGATTCTTGCTGCACGTGGCTGATTTCCCCATGGCAGATCTGCTGCTCATCCTGGGTACCTCCCTGGAGGTTTGTCAGTGTGGAGGTGGGTGCTGGGTGGAAGTGGGTACCGGGGGGTTACCACAGAGTAGTGTGAAGATGCTGTCTTTGCAGGTGAGTGGATCCAAAGCATTTCGTGTTTGGTGGCCCTGGGGGAGTGGGTCAGGTTAAGTGAATGGGTATGGGACGGGAGGAAGAGAAGGTGCTGCAGTGTGGTGGGTCTCCCAGACCAGGTCAGGAAGCCCATCTTGTATGGGACCAGGCTCAAACCTGAGCAGCTGACCCAGGGCTGGAATTGTACCTTGGATGCTACTGCAGGAGTGGACTGTAGCCTGGGGAGGGGAACATGTATTGCTTAGTTTGCAGGCAGGGCTGGCTTTGCTGGTAAGGGGTGATCCGGAGAGATACTGAGTTGCACATGGTTGCCTAAGACACCCACTAGATGTGTCCAAGAAGTTGATCTGCGTCTGGCTCTGATCGCCAGGAAATTTCTAAAAGGTGTGCTTAGAGTAAGCAGTGAGACCATGAAAAAGAGATGAGCCTGACTGGATCTAGGCACCAGCAGACAGAAAGGCCAGAAAGCCCAGCCTGCTGACAGGCCCAGCACTATTACTGTTCCAGTAAGCCAGGCCTCACTGGTGTTCTGGACAAAGTAAGACAAAGGTATGAGCTTACAGGGTTTTTAGAGGGCAGGGTGTACTATGGGAAAAGCAACACAGTGGGTCAGGGTGGGTGAGTGGATGCAAAGTGAATTTGGACACAACCTTGTCAGGTGCTGTATGTGTGCCTTCAAGAGAGACAAAGGAGCTGAGGGGCGTGCTGGCCAGCATGGAGAGCAGGGCCAAGAGGCCCTGGTGCGCTGTGCCAGGTCTCCTCTTCCTGTTGACTGATGCGCTGTGCCAGGTCTCTTCCTGCTGATTGATGCGCTGTGTCAGGTCTCCTCTTCCTGTTGACTGGTGCGCTATGTCAGGTCTCTTCCTGCTGACTGATGCGCTGTGCCAGGTCTCCTCTTCCTGCTGACTGATGCGCTGTGTCAGGTCCCTTCCTGCTGATTGATGCGCTGTGTCAGGTCTCCTCTTCCTGTTGATTGATGCGCTATGCCAGGTCTCTTCCTGTTGACTGATGCGCTGTGTCAGGTCTCCTCTTCCTGTTGACTGGTGCGCTATGTCAGGTCTCTTCCTGCTGACTGGTGCGCTGTG